TCCGAGAAATTTCTCCCTGAATCCCAGATTTCCCTGAATTTTCAGGCGATTCCTTGAAAATTTCTGGAATTCTGAGAATTTTAAGTGGATTCCCTGCAAATTGAAAGTAATTTAGCAGTGAATATTCATTTTCAATAGAGGATTCGTGTAAATTATGGAATTTCCATCATTAAATTCCTGTAATTGCCTGAAATTCATTCTAACGAATCCATTACATTCATTAAATTCACTTAACATGCCGGTAATTTATGCTCAAATAGTAAAATTTACCATTTATGCCACTAAAAATTATCCCATGAATGTGAACGATTGCTCAATATTGATTCACCCCGACAAAGATCTCTTCAAGGCAACATAACTTTTCGGAACAACGAATTTTCTCCCCCATTGCAATTCCAGTCAACTGAACTTTGACTTGATTCCAGTCAAATTGATACTTGCTTCAAGTCGCAGAGATACTTGACCGCGAACTAAATAAAACTAACTCCTAGTGATACAAGTCCATTATAAAACACCTCTTTCCCAAGGGTCAAGTATTTCCCCGACTCAATTCAAATTCCTGACGCCCAATAAAATTCCCTGACAGCCTCACTATCCACTCCATTCATTCACACCAACAGCGCACAACAGAGAAAAGAGAATTCTCTCAGTCCACATACGTAAGAGTATTTTAGTGTTTAAGAAATAATAATCGCTCTATCCCACATTGATTGCTGTTTTGTGTCCAGTCAACCAACTCATTCGATCGTTTCTATTGCGCCAGGTATATAACCCAAGGTATACACTTGACGCCTGTATCAAACATTTTCACAACACTGAGAGTTGGCGCTGACTAGGTTGTGGAGCGTGGGCGACCGGAAACCGTACCTCCCTTGCCGTCTTTGGAAGCTCCTAGCCATTAAACAAGGATTGAGAAAGTAAAAGAGAGAGAGATAGAGAAAAAACCACACGGATATTTGCTACTTTGTATACATTAAACTTTCGTGTAATTTCATTGACTAACGCTGTAATACCTGATGTGATGAACCGAGCGACAACAGTCCATCGCTCGCTGAATGCATCAGGGGTCAGGAAAAATGGGCAATAAACCATTGACAAGTCGCCTGAGTGAAATGTCACATTACGAAGAAAATAGAGAGAATGAAAAATCGTTGGTATTGAGGGGTACGATGACCTCGGGGTCCTAGGAGTGAAAGAGATCTTTTCCTTGGCTTCGACGGTGAGAATATTCCACCCACTTCTTGGAGAGTGCACCACCTACGCGTGAAGTATATTTTAATGTCTACGTAAAACAACGGTAAATGAGTAAACGAAGGAATCATATCGTGAAATTAAGAGAGAACTTATTTATGAGGGGATGATTTATGTGAGCATCTTTCGGCGAATGGTCAGAATGATTTGGGCGAAATTGACTTCTGAAGATCGGATAAACAAATTATGAATGAAGTTGGTGAATTCGAATTGATTCAGGTCTAATGTGACTCGATTCAAGGAGACTTTACCCCTCGATTCAAGTCGAATTGAGACTTGATTCAAGTTGGGGGATTACTTGATCCTTATGAAAGGTCAGTCAGTGGATTTCGGGGTTTTGAAATCAAGTATGAGGTTAACTTGAATCAAGTATTTTTCGACTTGAATGAAGTCGTTACATATTGCTTAAAATTTTTTCGGTGGAATAACTTGTTGGTTTAAACTTGAATCAAGTAGGTGACGACTTGAAAGGATTTTTCTTAAAATGATCCAATTTTCTAAATACAGCAAGTCCGAAATTCGGATTAAGTTATGGTTATTCTGCTTGAAACAAGTAGAATATGTACTTGAATAAAGTTGAGAAGTAATTAAATCATAAGTTTTTTGTGATTCTAAAATTCGAATTATGAGTTTATATCATAAAAAGCGATAATGGAAGATGTTACATAGGGCATCAATTCAAAGACATTCTGCGACTTAATTCAAGTCGAATTCATACTTGATTCAAGTAGGGGGCATTACGTGAGCCGTATGGAATGCCAGTTGTTTAAAGTTTACTTGGATCATTGGAACCTGGGTTTTTGGAATCAAGTATCAGGTTAACTTGGATCAAGTATTTTTCGACTTGAATAAAGTCGTGACATATTGCTTGAAACAGGCAAATTTTTTCAGGAGAATAATTTGTTGGTTTAAACTTGAATCAAGTAGGTGATGACTTGAAATGATTCTTCTTTAAAAGATCCGATTTTCTACCCACAGCAAGTTCAGAATTCGGATTAAGTTGTAGTCATCCTGCTTGAAACAAGTAGAATATGTACTTGAATCAAGTTTGGAACTACTTGAATCATAATTTTTTTGTGATCGGAAAATTCGAATTGCAAGTTTATACCATAAAAAGTGATAATGGAAGAAGTGACAAGTGAACAAGTGGAATATGTACTTGAATCAAATAAAATCCGTCAAGTAGAATCATACTTAAATCAAGTTTGAAACCCCTCAACGATTACTTGACTTGTTCCGTAATTTTTCTCCAACGTTTTTCTCCGTGTTGAACTATTCAAAGCTCCAGAGACTTTACCAAAAAGACAACAAAAAAACATTTTGGAAGGGCGAAAGCAGACTTCTTTGGGTATAGAAAGGTGATGACCTCGATCCTACACGGCGCGCGCCATTCTCGCCTTACCCCGCGCACAAGTATCACCAACCCGTCCACCTCCTTCTGCTTGCCTGTTCCAAACGAACGCCCGACTCGACTGCCCACGCTTTGCCCTTCTGTCAATTATATTTACTATTTCATTCATACTCACCGGTTGGGACCAACACCGTGCCCATTCACGAGAAGTTGCTGTGGAACGCGCACCAACAGTCAAGACAGAGACAAAGTCAGAGGGACATAAGTAAGTAGGAGGAAATGAGCTAAGCAAAAAGGATAAAAATGAATACATGCTAATCTGTCTAGTTTAGTTATGGATAAGAAAAGAATCGGTTAAACTAGATTTTATGGGCTTCATGAAAGAATTATCATTCGAATGTTTCATGGGGAATGTCACATAGAACATTCTAACGCAATTCATGGGTTGTTGTCTCTTTGGGTGATAATCATCTCATGCTGGATGTTGGATGATTGCTCGTAAACGAGGTTCACGTAATAACGATTCAGTGCGTTCTAAAGGAACTGATTTTTCGTACTGGAAGATAGTTATGGCTCTTATCTAAGAAACTTTCATCAAACATTGCCATCAAGTCATTCAGAATGTGATATGAGACTGGTTCGATCCAGGAATCAGCAATATTACGCATGCGAATGAATTCAAGAATTTGTCATTCGGTGAATGATGTTGTTCTCCGGGAGGATCTACTTACTTCGTGATTGAGTGATACCGTGACTTCGAAATTAAGTCTATTTCACGTGATTACATATCTGAAAAAATTGAATAGAAAATCCTAGCGCATTCGCTAGACAATTTTATTGGATTTCTTTTGAACTTTATATTAGTTTTTGGTCGATTCTATTGGATGTTCAGTAGAAAATATTGTATAGAAAAAGTCAGTAGAATTCAATTTTTCAGTCGAGACAGACACAAAGGTAGAGAGACATAAGTGAGTAGGAGGAAATGAGCTAAGCAAAAAGGATAAAAATGAATACATGCTAATCTGTCTAGTTTAGTTATGGATAAGAAAAGAATCGGTTAAACTGGATTTTATGGGCTTCGTGAAAAAATTATCATTCGAATGTTTCATGGGGAATGTCACATAGAACATTCTAACGCAATTCATGGGTTGTCTCTTTGGGTGATAATCATCTCATGCTGGATGTTGGATGATTGCTCGTAAACGAGGTTCACGTAATAACGATTCAGCGCGTTCTAAAGGAACTGATTTTTCACAATCGCGAAAACTCAAGGATTACGGATTGGTTATTGAAAATCGGTTACATGTCCCTGAATTAGGGTTTTTCATCTGCTTTTCCCTACACAATAGCAATTCTCACCTCAAAGCTTGTTTTCACTTAATCCATATCTGTAAAGGTTCATATGACTGAAAGCCCGAGGGCTGAAACCACGTAAAATAGCCGTAAGTTAACAATGTATACTCTGCTGCCTTGTTGTATCATTGACGTAAATAAAAATCTTTAAAAGTTGAAAAAAAAGTCACATGTGCCCAAAAATAACAACTTTTTTGGAGTTGACACGTCTTTGATTTCTAGAATTCTGTGAAAATTCTAGAAAATTCTTCGGTTTTCTAGCAAATTTGAGGAAATTCTCCGATTTTTGGCTGAAAGCCGTCGAGCGATGCACGCAGAAAAATGGTTTAGTTGAATTAAATAAACTTTATTTCAATCAAATGAACCGTTTATTTAATCCTAATAGAGGATTTATTCGATTCAAATAAAGTTTATTCAATCCTAATAAACGATTTTTCTGGGTGTGGCCAGTTGCAAGTCGCTTAGGATTTTCTCCGATTATTCTACACAAAATCAAAATCTCCAATTACAATCGCAAAATTATAAAATAACAATCACAAAATCGGCCGATTTTATGCGTGATTTCAGAGATGATTTCAAAGAAAACTCCTGAGAGTTGAAATCACTGGCTTCAGATTAATTCAATAACTTAACGGAATTTCGTACAGATTTCACGAATTCGTGAGATCCTACCCCTCTAAATAGCAAACGCATCAATATTTTTCTTTAAATTAACGTCGCAGCGATCCCTCCCCGATAAAATCCTGATTTGTCACCAGGAAAATTATCACAGCACTTAATGAAGTCATTAACACCTCCCCGATGTGATCTGAAAGTTGTATCATAACGCCGTAATGGATTATTAATTCAATTAAACGGCTTTCAGCCGTCCATCATACCTTCTACGTCATCAAAAACATCCGCCGTTGAAGAAGAAAAAGCCGTTTTAAACAAATCACGAAAAATTTTCATGCCAGTGTCATCTGGAGTTGATTCACTCAACTTTCTGCGTTCTCACACGGTAAGTCCGTAGTTTTGAACGCCACGCAGAAGTAGTGGGTGGACGCCGCCATTGCGGAGGCGCGCGCATTTTGTTTGTTTCTTTCATCGAACAGCTGATCAGTTATGGAAAATTCTATCTTGAACCTGGTAAGTGTTTCCTGTGTTATTTTCAATCATTCTGCTCATTTGTCGATGATCGAGAGTTGTTTTCATTTTTAATATTCACATTTAACTTCTTCTGCGGAAGGAGAACTGATGTGTGAGCGTGACCTCATCTCCTCCAATCGCTGCTGACGATAATTTAATGATATAATAAGTGTAATGAATCATATTAAATAACATTGAATGTTGCTTCACAATCTTTCTTATCGCATGCAGACGATAAATTCAAACTACCATTCTTTTCATCACAACGAAAACACGACTGTCTCTATGAACATGCGACCTAGGAAGTTTTTCGCACTGTTGCCCTCTGAAAAAATAGAAAATATTACTGCGTCGTTGGAAATTGAAATAGAGTAATAAATAATGAGGTTAGGAGGGGGACGTGAAAACTACGATTCATCATTGTTCTAGGCTCACGAGAAGCAGAGGAGGGCAGATGTTCTGCTGCGCTCAGGACGTTTCGAGGAGGCTGCCGAGTGCCATGAGAATATCGCTGAACTTTTGGCCGAGACACATGCACAAATCAGTGCAAGTTTTGTTGACGTAAGACCATTGGAGATATCAAATCATCAAGACAGCTGTTTGGCCACGTCGTCCATTCACTCTTCAGCTGCTCTTGAGTCGCTTGTTCTTCAGCGGGATTATCATAAGAGGCAAGCGGCTGTTGTGAGGTAAGATTCAGCAGGTATTTGGTGTGGAATTGATCCTCGTGGTGAATGGTTTTCAGTGATTTCTGTGTTGCAATCTAAACATTAAAGAATTAACGATTATCACGTCTGAGTCAAAGTAAAAGCAACATTTGCGTTGAGAGATGATAATTTCTTGAGAGGACATAACAACGAATGCCTGAAAAGACGACCGAAGAAAAAATAAGACAGAAATAACAAGGGTTAAAAAAGATAATAGGATCACGAAGGTCAGAAAGGGTCGTAAAAGGTGAAAAAATCACAAAAGGGTCAATCACAAGAATCACAAAAAATCATAAGAGTCGCAAGGGTTAGTCACGAAGACACAACGATCGCAAGGGTCGCTGGAGTCACAAGAGCCCATTCTCCTAAAAATTTTGACATTCGTTCATTTCTTCAAATAATTTCTTGAGAAAACTGATAGCTAAATTTTTGGTGGAACCTTTTTTTAGGGCTTCACTCGCTTTGCAAAGAAGGTTCTGACAAAAATTTCGCTATCTTCTTTAGATTTGGAGATATTCCCCAGAAACTCAGCTAAGAGCCGAAGTGAATCATTTCATCGCTTCGCTACTAAATGATTTGTCCTCAAAAGATGATTGTTTTTTTCTCCATCATTGACAAAACAACATAAAAACAATTTCAGAATGAAGCAAGCACAATATGAAGAATACAAAAGTACTTTGGAGAGACAACAACGACATCTCCTCAGCAAACAAACATCGAAAAATCATGACAAAGGAACTGCCGAGAACGCAATCCCTGAAAAGTACGAGGGATCGTTGAGACAGGCCATTTACAGGACAATAGAGGAGCAGGACAGTCTACTGAGTCTAATTTCATTGCCTGAGGATGGCCAGCCGTTCAAGCATCCTAAAGACACCAACACGGTTATCGAGGAACTACGTACCGCTAATTCGCAATTGAGATCGCTCGTCGAAAGTTTGCTCAGTCAGCTTGAGGCAAAGGAACAGGAGGTTCGCCAGTTGACCCAGAGGCTTCAGACCAGATCAATTGACTCTAACGAGGAAATTTGTCCTGGGGAAGGACACTCCTTGAGACTAGCACCACTTCCACCTCTGGCGCCGCTCGAAATGCCACTGTTTGATTTCACTTCTCCTTAGGATTAATCAGCAGCAAGTGAACGAATTATACATATTAACAATATATATACATATGTACTTAAATAAGTTGAGAAACAATTGCTGTTTCTCAGAACACGAAGGGCGTTGATGTAAAAAGAGAATCCTGATTGTTCCTAATTTCTCAGCCGACGCAGCAATTTTTTGATGCTATAATGTGTACAAGTTGAATGCAAGAGTGCGTGAACTCAATGAATCTTATGTACTGTAAACGCAGTTCACTGTATCGAGGGGTTTCGTATTTGACGGATTCAAGTCCGAGTCGAAATGAAACGTTACTAGGGTCGCGGGGTAATGCATGTGGTGATTAGCGATTAAAATGCACTTTTCCATGAACATATCTAATTCAAATTATTTTTGTATGTACTACGGTAAGCATGTAAACTATGATAATGGATATTTATTTCAGCGTGAGGTAGAATTTAAGATTCCGTTCATCTCGATTGAAGAAAGCTGGAGAAAATGATATACTGCCATTGTTAGGTTGTACATAAGTGCGCGAAGTCTTCATTTTTTTATGAGAGGTTTAGCTGCGTGACTGGTGATTAAAGCCAGCAGTAATAATGTTGTGATAATGTTGCTGCAATGGAACCAAACTTTTTGTCAGCTTATTATTAGGTTTTCTACTGATTGTTTTACCTCAAAATTTGGGTGATTAAGTGCGGTGGACGTGCAAGAATTGTAATGAATAATATAATTGTGAATAGTTGAATGCATTTCTTACATGGAAAGAATTTTCCAGTTGAGAGTTCTAATAAAGAATGAGAGAATCGTCAGCGATGAACAATGAAGTTACACATTATTGAAAATAGAAAAGGAGTTCTTGTTAAGTCAAATCTGGAAGCTGTTTTTTGGAAGCTGTATGTTGTTTTTATTTTTTTTTCGGAGAAAGAATACAGTCGAAAAAGTTATTACATGGTGAACGACAATGAACTACAACATGAGCCCAGGCGGAAAACAAATATATGAGATATATATCAATTACATGCACATAAATGTGCGGCAAAAAATGCAATATGTGAGATATACGCAAGATGTATGCGTCACATATATATGCACGTATGTATTCAACATATATTTTATATACAGCATTTTTTGCCAAAAATATATTTAAAATATATCGAACATATATCTTATAAGTAATTGCTCGCATATATATTTTTTCCGTGAGGAAGTCCACACCGTTTTTAGAGTTGCAGTGTTAAAATTACAACGCACCATGGAACATTGCATGTAAAATCTGGTGTTAATTCAACACTAATCAGTGTCCGAGGAAGTACTGTGAACTGCTAATAGATCAATCGATGGCTACTCAATGATGATTTAACAGGAGATTGACTTGTTCACTCGGTCGATGGCCGATCGATCGTTGGTTAATCACTAGTAGAGGGTTAGTCGATCGATGGTCGATTGCTGGCCGATCATTGGTCGATCAGTGGTCGATCAATCGAACCGTGATCGACTAGCACTCGACAGCATGAACAACTCGAACCCCCTATCGAGTGATCCATCACGGGCTCGTTGCTGACCCAAAAACGCAAATTAAGCATTCTCACTATTTTTAGAAACTAAGATAGCCATGCTGTTGCCATTGACAGTCTCCAATACAATCAAACAGTTTCTGGACGAAAACTGGATTCAAGTGCCACCGTGAGACCTCTTAGGTAGGGCAGTCAATATCTAAAGAAACTGAAATTCTTTCAGCTTTATGAATGGAAATATAATCTGTATTTCCAGATATCTTGGAGATAAGTCGCCGAATCTGGAAACTGATATTTGTGAATCAATTTCGGAAAAAAATGAGGAATACCCGAGCGAGTTTCGAACTCGCGACCTTCAGATTGGCGGTCTGGTGCTCTACCTCCTGAGCTACCGAGAGATCCGTCACCTTCCGTCGAATTTGATTCACTTTAACGTCGGATGACCTACCGCCGCCCCTCTAATGGCATTTTTCTAATTGATATTGATTTATTTCAATATTTTTCAATTGAACTGCGTTGCCAGATATTTTGGCGACAAATCGCCGAATCTGGCAACTATTCATTAAAATAAAATATTTCGTAAGATAAAATAACCGACGTCTTGACTGGGTCCATGCGTCACAATGTCATAAATAACTCGCAANTTATAAGTAATTGCTCGCATATATATTTTTTCCGTGAGGAAGTCCACACCGTTTTTAGAGTTGCAGTGTTAAAATTACAACGCACCATGGAACATTGCATGTAAAATCTGGTGTTAATTCAACACTAATCAGTGTCCGAGGAAGTACTGTGAACTGCTAATAGATCAATCGATGGCTACTCAATGATGATTTAACAGGAGATTGACTTGTTCACTCGGTCGATGGCCGATCGATCGTTGGTTAATCACTAGTAGAGGGTTAGTCGATCGATGGTCGATTGCTGGCCGATCATTGGTCGATCAGTGGTCGATCAATCGAACCGTGATCGACTAGCACTCGACAGCATGAACAACTCGAACCCCCTATCGAGTGATCCATCACGGGCTCGTTGCTGACCCAAAAACGCAAATTAAGCATTCTCACTATTTTTAGAAACTAAGATAGCCATGCTGTTGCCATTGACAGTCTCCAATACAATCAAACAGTTTCTGGACGAAAACTGGATTCAAGTGCCACCGTGAGACCTCTTAGGTAGGGCAGTCAATATCTAAAGAAACTGAAATTCTTTCAGCTTTATGAATGGAAATATAATCTGTATTTCCAGATATCTTGGAGATAAGTCGCCGAATCTGGAAACTGATATTTGTGAATCAATTTCGGAAAAAAATGAGGAATACCCGAGCGAGTTTCGAACTCGCGACCTTCAGATTGGCGGTCTGGTGCTCTACCTCCTGAGCTACCGAGAGATCCGTCACCTTCCGTCGAATTTGATTCACTTTAACGTCGGATGACCTACCGCCGCCCCTCTAATGGCATTTTTCTAATTGATATTGATTTATTTCAATATTTTTCAATTGAACTGCGTTGCCAGATATTTTGGCGACAAATCGCCGAATCTGGCAACTATTCATTAAAATAAAATATTTCGTAAGATAAAATAACCGACGTCTTGACTGGGTCCATGCGTCACAATGTCATAAATAACTCGCAAAACTCGTTAAATTCATGTATAAAATCATAAATTTAATTGGAGCCACAGTTCTACAGTTTTACCGGCTTGTGTGAGAATATTTTTTTTCTCCCCCTGTCTTGGTTTAACGATGGTTACCAAAACTAAAATAGACCTGAGCCGCTACTCAGGTAAGACCAACACTTCATCACTTTTTGGCCTCTTCCTAATGTCAGTCCTAGATCATGAAACAAACTTTCACATGAATTATGCACCAATGAACTAAAATCATTACTTATCGAACATTGCCAGAAGAACAGAAAAGTATGATCCTACAGCTTTGATAATATTTGTGAAGCTCTCGAGATTCATGACACAAACTTTTCCTGCTGTTAGTGCAAATGACTTACGACATCGCATCATGACAAATATTAGATCTTTAGTGACCTTAGATGGTGAATCACACCATTCAGAGCTGTATATAGCTGATCCCAAGTTTTCAAGCCCTGAGGATAGACGTTCACCGGCATAACTGTACAGAAATAATTGCAGATACAGGATCTGCAGCATGATGATGTTGTTGATGATGACAACGCTATTCCCCATCCTGAGGTTGACGACCATTTGCAGAGCTGCAATACCAAATATCACAGTAAACTACAAAAAAATGTCTGAATATCAGACGTTAATATGTGCATTTCTGATATATCTAATGGACCATTTCGATGTGTTTGGTAACATTTGAAAATTGTTTACGAACGATGTCTAAATTTGGTGGTGTTTTTTACTGTTCCTGATGTGGGAATTGCTATCGCACCTGGCGAACCTCAAGAATTTGAAAACCATTTCGTCAAAATCATGTCTCGGAATGTAGTGATGGGGTTCCTTTACTCGTGTTTGGAAAGTGACCAACTCCATGCGAGTAGAAAGGCTATCGCAACAGTCCGCGAAAACACTACTGGTAGAATAATTGACCGAGATAATTACTGACTCATAGCCAAATGGGAGACAAGCGTGTTATGGAGAATGCATAAAAGGAATCGTTCTCCTCTAGTTACCAATCAAGCAAATCTCATAAGTGAGCGCAGACAACTCCACCAAAATGACTATGTTGAACGTCGTCTCCAAATTCTCAGCCAATTCCAGCAAATGATTCTGCCGTTTCACCAGAGCCACCAACTTTTCATGACAATCGGTGTCTTCTTTCTCCTTTCCAAATCTCTCCATATCGTCCGTCAATTTCTCAATCTGTCCGCTCAAGTGCATCGTCACTCCAAAAAAATAGCAATCGCATCCAACATTGCCGGTGCACGTAATCAGTAATTGGATACATTGAATAATGTATACCGAAGTGTAAAAACTACTAGACATTTGCTGAAAAAGGCAGACTGTGCCCAGCGGGAGAATCTTAATGTCTGAATCCGTCGAGTTCGTTGTATTGACGGCACTATGTCCGGCAAAGCCGCTCAAAATGATTGGTATTGCCGTGACATAAGCACCAATCATCTGAAAAAGACAAATGGATCTTCCCAATTTAGCACAACTCCGCATTTTCTTGTTGTCATCTGCTGTCTTCACGCATAACCAATCCTGCATAGCAGACATCATAATTTCGTGCATTCGAGGATTATGCGCCCGAATGATGGTGACTTTTACGATAGTCATGAAAGCGCAAGAACAGAGCGATATGTTCTGAATTTTGTCACTGACTTCACCACATTGGAGATGCATTTCCCCAATTATGCTGATCATCATAGTCAGCTAAAATACATAATGAATGATTTGTAGGGAATCGAAGGGGCGCTGCCACCCAAAAAAAATTACTTCTGATCAGTAGAAAAAGTAATTTGAAGTGAGAAGTAATTTTTTCTGCGTGATGCATTGCAATGATTCTTTGAATCTTACCTGGAGTACACAGACAATCAAAACTTGACATTTCGATATAAACTTATGACACGTGAATGGCCAAATTCCTAAGCTCTGAGTGATGAGGCGATAGAGTCCGAAGGCGTACGCAATATTGTCATTCCAAATTGTGGTGAATTGAGTTGTTGTCTCCATAGCGGCTGAAGGGTAAATGCCGTTCTCCCGTGCATGATGCTATTTCATGTTTCATGAGTGATTTATAATTCATGGCGATTCGTATGAAATTCCTTTCTTTCGGGAATTCGCAGCGAATAATACCTCTGACAGGTGTTTGGGTTCTCTACGGACTACTTTTCTATTCATAGAGAACCATCGATGGACAAAAAATAATAATATTGACAGAAGATGGATATTGCGTGGGCGGAAAATGGAGAAACTTTGTTTTTGAGATGATGCATTATTTATTGTTGCGTGACACGACACTGATGCAATATTCTTTAGGCACTCGGAGGAGGGGGTCCGGAAAAAAATATATTGCACAGGTGCGTTAGTAAGCTTCGACATTTATTAAGGGTTGCAAGTCTTACTTGAAGACTGTCAATGCAATATCCTGGTCTTCAGATTGATTGAGAGCTAATTTTTCTTGTGTGTTCGACATCCTCCGTAAATAATCGTTGATAGCAATCATCTGTAAGAGTTCTTCGATCATCTGTGTTATCTGTACAAGCTGTTACAATATGATGTAGTGAGGGGATTTCATGAAAGGGTTTAACTTGAATGCAACTAGAACACTTGTGAAATGTAGCGACGCTGCATGAGAAAATCTATACCATCCGGAAAAATGTGTCGTCCTGGTGTAACTTTATTCCGTTGAAGAACAGTTAATGTTTTTGTGGAAGACATCGATTTGGGATTGAGGAAAATGCCATTCCTTGTAAATGATGCATTTATTGAAATACAATGGATATCCTTACAATCAATATTCAATCATTTCTCGATTATTGAATAATTCACCTTGGATTTGCCATTTGGCATGGCTGGACAAAACACTTGTCTCATGCAGTCAATGAAATTGGAATGTTACGCTGTTATTCGTGCGGTAAACACCATCAGGTCTCATTCAACATTGATCAACTGCTCACATGAAGAGAAAAGTTGGATAAAATTTACTTAGAAACTTGGGGCAGAAAGGTAATCGTGGAGTGAAGAGTAATTCAATGAAAAATACGGTTTGTAGAGGATATTTTACGGAAAAACTCATCTATGGTTGCAGAAATTATCCTCCTGTACACTGTTAAAAAATTTTCACTGAAGTTTCCAGGCTTTAGCCTTGAAATATGAAACAAGTGATGGTTTCATTAAAATTTTAGGGAATTTTACGATTGAAAATTCGTGGTTTTGGTGGAAAATTTATGAAAATTTTAAATTTCAGTTAAATTATTCCATGAAAATTAATGGAAATTAGGAAAATTCAAGCACAAATGTCCTTGAATTTTCAATTTTTTTAAATTTCAGAGCAATTTCTTATTGAATTATCATGTTTACATTGAAAATTGATGGAAATTTCGGAATCTTCATGGTTGTTCCACTGACAAATCAGGAATTTCCTTGAATTTTCAGGGAAACTTGAAGTTTCATAGACTTTTTTCCGTTAAATCGAATTCAGTGTCATTTTCTGGAAAATTTAGTTAAATTTTTTTAACAGTATACAGCAAAATCTCCCACACCCGTAGGTTATTTTTTTTTGCATCCATCCGAACGCGTTCGGTAAAAAATCATTCTCCGTTACAGAAAGATTATACTCAATATTGAGCAATCATTCATGTTCACTGGGATAATTTTTGATGGAATGCAGGGTAAATTTTACAGTTTTGGCACAAATTACCCTCACGTTCAGTCAATTTTCTCGGATAAGCGGAGAAAATTCAGTATTCGTCTCGCACTTTTCCCCGATATAGAGTGAAAAAATACTGAGAATCAAGTTCACTCCACGATTACTTGACTTGTTCGGTAATTTTTCTCCACCTTTTCTCTGCGAACAGAATTTTGAAATCGTCAGTGGAATGTTGAGAACAACATGAAACAACTGAAAACTCCCTAAGAATTAGTACATTACGCAACTAGTGCGTAAAGCAGGCGGTTACTCACGAGGGCGGCGCACCCGCCCGAGCGATACCGTCTGCTGTCTGCACGTGTTGCGTATACTATTTTATATGATAAGTGCGTGATGAAGTCGGGGGGGGGGGCGAAGCCCCCCACGAGAAAAGGGGGTCCAGGGGGCGAAGCCCCCGGCGGGGGGGGGCGGCTTGGCCCCCCCCAGTGAAGAAAAAAGATCACATTATTTAAAAAAATAATTATAAATAAGTGTGATTTAAAAATTATGCGGAACTTCTGAAGAAAAAATTAATTATATTCATCAAATATGTAGTTCAAAAAACTTGTAAAGTATTTTTAATTGAAAAAAATTAATTATAATAATTACAAAATACAATCTTGAAAAATCATTAAGAATTCGCAAAAAAAAGAAAGTTATAATTATAAAAAAATATGATACAAAACGTAATTGAAAAATCGAAGAATATTTTATTTCCATTTTTTTCAAATGTCACATCACCAATAAACTCCTCCTCATCAGTAAATAAATTCTCCTCACTGCCTAACTCTTCATCACTATCAGGAATTATACGATTTTGGCTCATTTTATCTGCTTCGAAAATCACCTTTTCTTTTTTCAGTCTTTTTGTATATCCACTATTCTGAGGTTAGATGTCCTTCCTTGTTATTCTCTTTTAATAGGTGATGCGCATGCGCGTCATGCGTTATTTCGAGTTTCAGTTGACTATAGTCAACTGAAACCCATGCGGTTACACGCACGTATCATATAAACTTTGTTACCTACGTACACGCATGCACAAACACGTACGGACGGGGTCTAAAAATTGCGTTTTCAGACTTTTTGGATCATACTAGGTCGATATAACACAAACAATTCGAAACTTAAGTTTGAACGATTACAAAGCGAATGATTCGGAAGCAAAAATTGTTACTTAATTTCAGAAAGGAAATCCCTAAAGTTGGAGAGTGAAAATCTACTCATCCCAAGTGATGAATAGTATATTGTGCATCAAGGGCGGAAAGTCATGTTTTCCCGCCCGAGGTGCACATGCTATTTTTTAACACGCCTGCAAAGGAAAGTTTGTATTTTGCTGTCTGGTGAGCAGGAGGAAAGTGAGTACTTTCCGCCCTTGGGAGCAACTTTCCACCCTAGGAAAGGGGAAAGGGGGGGGAGAGATTGAGTCATTTCCTTTGCAGGCGTGTTAAAAAATAGCATGTGCACCTCGGGCGGGAAAACATGACTTTCCGCCCTTGATGCACAATATACTATAATCAAGCGATTGGCAATCGAAAACCATTGCGTTTTGAAATTAAAATCCTTTAGAAAGGATAAAATTTTACAATAATTGAAAATTAAAAAATAAACATTTTTGTTTTAATTTTAAAAATTAAAATAATTGAAAATTATTTCAGAATTTTATTAAGTGTCTTATTTTAAAAAGTTGAAAATCCTGAATGCCAGAACGAAGATTTCGTCAAAATAACAGAAAATGTGCCTCTGTTCAAGTTCAATTTTACTAGATTCAGGTAAAAAAATGTTGAAAATTGGAGCTTTTTTCTCAGATTTTTAAACAAATTTTTCTTAGAAATGAAAACTCCACTCATTCCCAGGATCTTATGCGCGGTAAAAGTCCGAAATTTTCACTGGAAACTAGAAACTTTCTTCCTCTGTACTGATTACGGACGAGATCGTACCAATAAAATACAAACAATCGTCGGTTGTATCTTCGGAATGACACTGTGACAGGTCATGCACCAAATTCCCAGACATTGAGCTATTATTTTGTACGGTCTTATAGAATACATTGCATTATTATCATAACTCAATGGTTTCGTTTCTTCTTTCATTGTTCTAGGAGACACTGAACCCTCCCCCATGGTCACGTTTATTTTTATTGTGCGATTACTTTCTTTATTCATGATAAAATTCCAGAACTTTTTTTTTTCTGGACAGCAGAGAACATCACTTGAGTTCCTTTATTTGAAAAGTATTTTCCCTCTCGCATGTTTTATTATGCACATAGGTAATGTTGAGCGGTAGGAGATAGATACCAAGGGAGAAAATATTGCTCGGTTTGTGCCAATAATAGTTGTTTTGTATTGTATGTACAGTGAGTTTGTTCAATTTTTCATAGTACGAAAGGAGTGGGGACAGACGCATGGTCATTCTTTTCTTCAGTTCTTCCCCGATCGGCGTAACGTCTCCGCATAACGAGACGCATTGTAATATTATTTCAATAATAAGAAAAACATCCAATAAAAATTATTTGACACCCGTAGGTGATGAGAAAAAAATCATTCAATCTGATGAATAAAATCAATATTCAAAAAATGTTCAAATGCACACTTAAATAGTTACTTGAGAATTGAAAAACTTCGTGCTCAACGATTGAATCAGAGCTCGACAACAATAAGACTCGCCTTCCTTTTCACCCCCCAGTGATCTGCACACGGAACACTTTAAATTGAAGTAGCGCTCTTACTTGGCGACAGACACTACCGCATCTCCTGATAGAAATCCAGTAGAATTATCTAGCGAATTCGCTAGGTTTTTTTAATGAAAATTTTTCATACGTGAAGTGAGTAGCCCCTCCAAATAAAATCGATTAATTGTCCTAACCAATTGTTAAAATTACAGGTGAAATAAGGATTATCTATGCGTAACTACCCGAGTGGAAATTCGGGTCCGGTCTTGATCCAGTTTGGATCAGGTTAGATCTGACCACTGATCAGGTATTGATCAAGTTGACGAATCCGGTCGGAATCAGACATGTTACGCCTCTGACCAATCCGGATTTGATCAGGACGAATGGATCCGAACTTGATCAAGTCAACTGTATGAAAACCGGATGATCTGTCTGTCAGTATCAATAACAATTATCAATGATAATTAATCCAAAACAAAAGATAATTCAATTCTTTCACCGTAGGCCGCCTCTCTTAATGAATCTCTACTGTTATTACCTCTGAAAAAGCTTATTATTTTTTTACCGATGCTGGGGATCGAACCGGGGACCCTGTGATTACTAATCCTATGCCCTAACCCCTACCCTATCGTGCTATTACTATTGAGTAAACTGTACATTGCCTATATGATTTGTATCGAGATATTCGTTGAATTCACGATTATCCCTGATCTCGCGGATGTGAGATAAAATATGTTCAATTAAATTTTTATTTATTTCATTAATGAATAATAATAATGATAATAACAATAACACTAATAAATGAATAGACATTTGGTGATTTTTTTCTCAAGATCATTTGCGTGTAAGTTTGATACTCCTCTAATACGTATTTACGGCACCATCATCCCTCCCTTCTGTACATTTGAGAAGGGCTGGCTGTTAATTAAATTGATTAATTAAATTAAACTCATTAAATTGAATTAATGTAGTTTAATTTATTTTAATTATAGTATAATGATCCTTTTTAAAGATTGAAAATAATTATTGATGATGGTTGATAAAAGTTAATTTGAATAGTATACTAATAGTTAATTAAATCATCCGAAAAACTTATTAAAATTGGTGTCAGGTGGAGCGGATCTGAATCTGATCATTTTCTCTTCAATTGACCTTTTTCAAATGCCGATCAAGGACATCAAATCCGAATTTGATCAATTTGAGGTCAGGCAGCCAACCTCAAGGTGAGATCGTGCCTACCTGATCAGAACTTGATCTGAATCATCTTGCAGTTTTTCGGATCCGATCTGCTGGATGAAAACTTGGTCAGGTTCTCATCAGGCATCACCTGATCATGTCTACCTGATCAGAACTTGATCTGAATCATCTTGCAGTTTTTCGGATCCGATCTGCTGGATCAAAACTTGGTCAGGTCCTCATCAGGCATCATCTGATCATGTCTACCTGATCAGAACTTGATCTGAATCATCTTGCAGTTTTTCGGATCCGATCTGCTGGATCAAAACTTGGTCAGGTTCTCATCAGGAATCACCGGACCAGTCGAACCTTACAAAAACCTGATCAAGTTTTGATCGTACTTCAGGTAGGCCTGAAGCAATTTCCACTCGGGTAGTTCTATCCGTGCAATTCTTGGAAATATTATTCATTGAACATAGCCTGCATGACAGAGAAATACGAGCCAAGGGCTTTCATGATATTCTTGAAACTATCCAAGTCCATACGATAAACTTTTCCGGCTGTCAAACTGAATATTCTGTTTCTACGTACGAGAATGAAGAGAACATTTTGCTTATTCGGTGGTGACATTTCATACCAAAGACACTTGTAGGCGGTAGTACCAACGTTTTCGATTGCTCGCGACAAGCACTCGCCGGCATAGCTGTACATGAATATTTGAAGGGTATGGATTATCATGCAGATGATGGTGTTGATGCAGACTACAAAGTCCCCTGCTCTGGCAGTCCTAATAACTAAGATCCCTAGGATGAATGTCGTCGAAGTAGATGTTGCTCTCTTCAGAGTTGCTATCAATCTGTATAAAAGTAAACGTTTTTTCCAACAGTGTATGAGGTGAAAAGTGAATGGATACAAATCTTTGGTGTACGCTCATCAATTGACAATAGTATTTTCCTGTTCAGGAAAACCATCGGAGCGTGAGCGATCATTTTGGGACTGTCGGAATATTTACTACCAAGTAAATACATTTTTCTACGCTCTCATATTTTGATGGAACTTCACATTAAAGTTCTTATAGTTTTACAAGCTCATATCTTATCGATATTGACTCGAAACTAGACAACATCTGGGTCATAAGTGTATCAACCATAGCAAGCTGATTTGGCGTCAGCTTGAGAATACACCGTAGCCCACAATATCTCCATATGAACAAAAATAAACAACGAAACGAGTTCATATAATTCGATGGGAACAGAAAATTCTCATAATACGTGTGATCAGTGGTAAACACATATAATTCATCTCCTGCAGTTGATTCTGCTCAGAACGCTCCGAAACCGCTCCATGTGTCCATATGACCACTCAAGAACCCCAGAATCAATTGCATCTACAACAAATTGATAATTGACCACAGCAGATGATGTTCAATACTAAAGTGTGGACTGTACCTCAGTATTCAACTGGAAACATAGTCTGTTAACATCGAATATTGTATTCACAATTTAAATGAAAGATGAAGTTGGATGAAGACTAGAAATTTGAGCACACTGTTTCCTAAATGAATAAATGAATAAATTAATGAATGAATAAATGAATGAATGAATGAATAAATGAATGAATTAATAAATACATAAATAAATAAATATATAAATACATAAAAATTATACTTGAATTCTTCGAAATTTTTTTTCTCCGTGTAACTTTCGTTTCCCGCACTGTCTATTACGATTGGGCTTTTGTCCTCCCGATTCGCGAGTCAACTGGCAAAGAAATCTCAAGAACCAAGTCTAAGCTCGACTTGGCCCGGCGTTACCAGTTTGATAATACTGTATAGCAGTATTACAACCAGCTCACATGAAACAGAATAGGCGTCGCGTAGGCGAATGTATCATGCGAAACATTCGTATCGATTGGCCATTATCACCGTAATTATTCCTTCTGTTGTCGCGTCTTACACATATGAAAGGGAATATTTGATGGTGATCGGAGGGTTCGAGTAATACAAGAAAATTGTTGGATTTTCTTTCACCCGACCGCACTAAAAAGGCAGTTTTAATAAGGCATGGACTTTTTCGACAATCCAAACTGGTTTTTTACAAAGTGGTTGCTGTCTTCCTTCGGCGCATGGCCCTTTCAGTCATCGAGATTTCGTTATTTATCGAGATATACTGTAGGGTTTCTCATTTGTAGTCTACTCGTACCTGAGGTATTGATAAAACAGGGATAATTCAGGGAATTACTGGATAACCCGCAAGCAATTGTGGAGTGAAATTTTATTATAAATTTTTTGTTTGATATCGCGTCGAAAAATCGGAAGGAATCTACGGAGAGAAATTTTCTAGAAAAATTCTAGTAAAAGTACTGGAAAAAATTACAATCTACCGGCTGTTAAAGTACAATTTCTGGTACAATTTCTGAGGATTTCTGTAAAATTTCCACAGAAATAGGGGGAAAAATTAATGTTTTCTCCAATAAAATTACTAGTGCTGGCGCTGGAATTTTTTTCTGGCCGTCATTTTACGCCTCTTTTCCCGTGCTAGCAGTAGAATTGAGTGTCATGAGATTTGCTTTGAAATCGGACAATTTATTCGGATACGGCGGAGTGCGTGAAGTTCAAGGTCGTATGCAAAATAATTTATGTCACGGCTACGTGAATGGAGAATGTTGTGAGCGCTACGCCATGGCGAGAGGTGCAATGTTTAATGGCATTCAGTCCCGTTGACGATTTCGTTGGTTACCAAAGAGTATTTTTTGTTAAAGTAAACTTTATTATGTTCAACAAATTGAGCAACTCGACGGGGGGGGAGTCGATTGAAGTCGACTTTCCCCCTGGAAAAACGGAAAATCTGACCCTTTGAAAATCTAAAAAAAAAACTTTTCCAGTTTTCACTTTTTTCACATACTTTTGAGAGTTCTGAATAGCCCGTCGCTTAAATAATTGGAATCAACGTTCACCCGGCTAAAAAATTCGATTTTGGCGAAAGTCGCCTTTCCCCCTGGAAAAACCGAAAATCTGCTTCTGCGATAGCCGCAGAGAAACAACTCGGCACTGCACAAACGCTATTAGTAATCCCGTATAACACGGATTGTGACTGCTAATGAACTATCGAATAATGTCGAACTCTATTTTCCCCAAATCATTTCGGACTAGATCTTGACCAACGCTGAAGAACCTTCTGCAGGACAGCACCTGTCTCCAAATGCCGTACCAGCTAGGGACAAAGGATTTGGCATCGTACAGATTCCTTGTACCACGCTCTGTTGATCGATACAACTGCTATATCACGCTTGTAACGACCGCAATTATGCTCTTTGTTGTCTATCGACGGATAAGAATCAAGCGGAATGACTGAGCCACACTAATTGCTAGGTTCTTTAACTTCTCTGAAAGTCAGGTTAGTTCAAAACATACTTTGATGTTTCGTCAGTAAGATGGACTTCTTCGAAAACACCAATTGGCGTCTCACAAAGCTTTTATTATCTTGTTTTGGTGCTTGGCCGTTTCAGCGACTGTTTCTTCGTGCTGCATTTACACTGGTCGTCACTGTTGTATTGATAAGTATACTCATACCTGAGGTGAGCGAGAAACATTTCCATCAACGGACGAAATACTTTTCCCGAGGGGCTATTCACATGCGAATTCGGTGACACCGAGATTACAAAATTTAATCGATTACCCAGGATTACGGGACTGATTACACTGATTACCATTGCCTATGTGATAACCGTGATTTCCAAGAACACAAAATGTGATTACATGATTACAAATGATTTCGTGGATTATATTCTGCGATTACCAAACATCGGTAATCATTGAAATCACAAAAAATGGCCTCTTATTAAATATAAATTGATGGAATAATTAATTATTAGAACCGGCAAAGAAATGAGGAAGGAGGCGCGAGGATTAGAACAGAGGAATGCAGTCTCCATCACTCCATCTAAAAATTTGGGCATTTATAATTGCTATCGGCAAAATAAATTCACTGAATATCTGCCATTGATGGAGAATGAAACTCACCAGCAGATAATTCAGAGATAATTCAGTCGTTGGTTCTCCAGAATAAGAAGAAATTTCAACTCTGTTGAATCAATCCCCTACAGACAAATGCTCTGTGCAAAATGCATTGACTATGCAAGGTTCAGAACTATAAACATCTGGGATTCCAAGAAAAATTGATCCAGGGGTCTTTGAGACTTACCGTAGGTAGAAATGACGCGCTCGAAAATTCAAAAACAAAATTCACGTTCTCACTAGGAGCAATTGCGAAAGATTACACTGATTACATTGATTTCACTGGGATTACAATTGATTACATCAGCGAAAGACACCACGATTACGCCTGTGAATAGCCCCTCGACTTTTCCGGAATAAGATTATTGCTTAGGATCCTGGAGAAGCTGCGTTATTTTCACTTACACAAGCATGAATTCGTTTTTGAAACTAAATGTGCCATGACTGATCATTCCTGCTGTGTATCTAAGGGAAACCTTCGTCATGTTACAGATTATTAAATTGGTTACAGTTTACGATGACTTGGGTAAGACGATAGCATGCGTGCCGATACTAGCATTGCACTCGTTGACAGTCACAAAAATGTTGAATTGCTTACTTAACCTTAACCAGGTAAAATCATGAAGTCGTCTGATTGCAAACGTAAACTCATCATTTTGAATCGTGATAGAATAAGTTATTACTTCTGGAAATTCAAAAGGATTGGCAACGGACTTTGTCGCCGGCTGATGTTGAAATATTGAAAAGAAATGCCAAGCAAAATAGATCTATAACGCATACATACATATGTAAGCAGCATCCTGTCGACACTTTTCCCTCATGATGACCAAATGTTCTTTGTGGAAAGATTACATCTATGCTACCACTTTGATGTACCTATTAGGACCAATGGTGCCAAAAGTGTTGGATGTGGTGATGCCTCTCAATGAATCTCGGCCGGCTTTGGAGATTTATCAGACGGAGTATTTCGTAGATCCTGTGAAAAATAAGATTCCAATTTTAGTTCATGCTTATGTTATAAGCCCCTTTCCATCGACAATCATCGTTGCTTTTGATGCGCTATACTGTAACTGTGTTAATCATGCCTGCAGCATGTTCGAAATTGTTGGGTGAAGGATATTGTCTATCAACTTCGTTATCCAATGCTAGAATTACATTTACTTTTACAATGAAATTGCAGAAAACGTTTGGAAAACATCATAGATGATATCGATAATGCGAACCAGAGATTCTCTCCTATCATGGAGAACAATATCCACAGCTCCCTGAGAGCGTGCATCAGGCAACATCGGAAGTCATTACAGTGAGTGGTTCAAACATTGATGAAACAAGGAACTCCTTCGACACGTGTACTTCCCGAGTCGAATAATTGGACCTGACAAATTCTGCTTAGGTCTCTCCGTTCAGAACTGGATAGGTCTTCGGAAGCCTCTTCCCAAGTGCTTCCGAGACCTTTCTACCTCTGGTTATGTCCCACTTCAGCACTTGTTAGGTGTAAGCAGGACTTGCATTCAGACTTTCCAAATCCTTGCCGGTCCCCGTAATTCTATGGGCCTATATTAAATCTGCGTTCATATCCCTATTTACTCATGCGTTATTGAAATAAAAAATGCAATTATTGTTTTTTTTTTCATCTCGAAAATCGACATTTCACGGGAGAGTGGAGGGGAGATGCATGTATGCGGAGGCTTGACATTTTTATCCAACAAGCGGAGAAGGTTGCAGAATCTATTCTAGCCACTCTTGCCCCTCCGCTTGCATGCATTGTCCAAATAAAAAAAGAAAGTGTTAA